TTTGTGCTTACGTGTGTGTAAGGGGACACACGTAAGCACAAACACACCCTTACACACACGTAAGCACAAACACACCCTTACACACACGTAAGCACAAACACACCCTTACACACACGTAAGCACAAACTCACCCTTACACACACGTAAGCACAAACACACCCTTACAAAGGTGTGTTTGTGCTTATGTATGCTTAAGGGCACATGTGTTGCATTTCTTACTATGAATGTACTTACTTTTAGTCATACACAAATATTTAGTCATTCTATGATAGATGGTATAGCAAGAGAAAGCGAGAGAGAGTGTGGGTGTGGGCGTCCCTGTGTTCATTCGTGCGTCCATGCGTCCATCCATGCGTGCGTGCATATGTGTATACATGTGTGTGTGTGCGTGTGTGTGTGCGTGCGTGCGTGCGTGCGTGCGCACGTGCGTGTGTGGTGCATCCATACGTGCGTGCATATGTGTCTACATGTGTGTGCGACCTTGCGTGCGGCCGTGTGAACAAGTGTAAGTGCATATGTGTATACATGTGTGTGCGTCCTTGCGTGCGGCTGTGCGAACAAGTGTAAGTGCATATGTGTATACATGTATACATTGCATCGTTACTGTAGGAGGTGTGCGATGATGAGCAGCTTCAGGGAGACCTGAATGCCGCAGCGACGGCCGTCACCAAGGCTCTCAACGACCTGCTGCAGCACGTCAAGCGCAGCTCTCAGCCTCCCAAAGCATCGCAGCACGACGACGCCGGTACAGAGGCTGCACGCTCACTCTCACTGAAGCCCTACATCCTATCTGATTCTTATACTGCCCACGGAATCCCTTAGCTGTTACAAAACAGTTCGGTTATTTCTAGGTTATTGCGCACGCACTCTCACTGAATCCCTATGCCCTGATTCTTATATGTTTTCATAATGTATTATTGTATTCATTTATATTCATTTTATATGTTAGATGTATTCTTATACTGCCCCACTGAATCCATTCTTTGTTACGAAACTATGCAGATATTCCTAGGGCGTGATTTTAATAAAACTGCAGCTTTCGCTGGTATATGGTATATATATATATATATATATATATATATATATATATATATATATATATATAATATATATATATATATATATATGTAATTATACACGTAATTATTCATCTTTAATACTGCTATGTTGAATTAAATCGTTAACGAATTCGTCATAAACGAAAGCCGACGACCGGGAAAGCAAACCAGCTCGCGTCACCTTGCGTCACGCCATGTCGCGTCACATCGTGTCACGTGGCGTCACATCGCGTCACGGCACGCCACGTCACGTCACAACTTCGATCGTCGTCAACGCCCCCCCCGTCACGTGGCGCCCTCTGACGGTACGCGCTGCCCCCGTTGCAGGATGCGCTGCTGGCGCTGGCGAAGGCCGTTGCCAACGCGACCGCGCAGCTGGTACTCAACGCGAAGAACGTCGCGGGAGGCTGCGACGATTCGTCCGACCAGAACCGCGTGATCGGCTCGGCGACGCAGTGTGCCCTCGCCACGTCCGAGCTGGTCGCCTGCGCCAAGGTGAGGGGGAGGGAGAGGATGGGGGGAGAGGAGGTGTGTGGGATGGTGAGAAGGGAGGATGAGAGGGGAGGTGTGGGGGCTTATGAGAGTGGTGTGTGAGAGTGGTGTGTGTGTGAGGGGGTGGTAGGAAGTGGGTGTGTGGGGGTGGGATGAGAGGGAAGGTGTGTTGGGGACTGTAACATGGTGTGTGGCTTGTAGTAGAAGGAGCTAGTAGCACTGGTCAAGGTTTGCGCATTGTTTTCCGTGTGTGTATTTGTTTACTAGAAAACCGAGTAGACTGTGTAGTCTTCCGAAATAGTCTATTAGTTGTCTATACTGAGTGAACCTTGTCAGTTTGTATGCCGTATAGTCTCTGTCACAGCATATAATGTCCGCAGTTACTATTTCCATGTACAAGGCTGACATGACCCAACCTGAAGTCTGTCTTCTAGTGGACCATGGCGCGTTATCGGTAGTGAATAGTGTCATGGCGGCGCCTGTAGCTGTTCTTGTGTTTGTTTGTAGGTGGTGGCACCTACCATCAACAGTCCAGCGTGTCAGGAGCAGCTGGTGGAGTCAGCGAAACACGTGGCCAGGTCCGTCGAAGGCATCGTGACAACGTCCAAGGTTAGCGAGCGATGCTGCAACGGATTCCTCTCTTCTTCCTTCTCTCTCGGACTCCGTTCTATTCGCGCTGTTTCTCTCCTTTGCTGTTGCCCGGTCTCCCATTCGTTGGTGTTCTCTTTGGTCATTGTCTTCATTCAGTCTCTTTCAGTTCGTGAGTTCCCTCGGTCTCCCTTCTCCAGGCCCTCCTCCTCTGCCTTCGTCATCTCTATATAAATTTCTCATCCTGTTACTATCTCTCCGTCACTGTCTCCCAGTGTGCTTCATTCATGTTAATGTGTGTGTGTGTGTGTGTGTGTGTGTGTGTGTGTGTGTGTGTGTGTGTGTGTGT